ATATTTAGAAAAGGACTGGAATTCCTACATTAATAAATGTATGGTTAAAAAGAGACAGTAAAAGGTAAAACCACGGGTCAAGCATTCAAAAGTTAATTTCTAGCAATGACATTTTACATGTTAATGCTACAGTTAATAGTCTGCAATTAATGTGTGGACATTAAAATTTTACATGTTCAAATGTAAAGTCCAACATTAATAATTTACATCTTACTGCAAAATGTTAATGTCTCATTCAGCTAAATGAGAGTCTCAGCGACCCTTCCATGACTTTGCTTCCATTTCCAAGGCTATAAGATTCAGCTTTTCAATTCAGCTTATTAGTGGATAAATGAGTGTCATCAACTCGGCTTATGTTGTGTTATATTGCCAAAAATGTCAGAAATGTCAGAAAGAAAATTCCTCAAAATGATGTGATAAGTTGAAGGATTGTAATCAGATGTAGAAACACCAACAGCAGAAATGTTTTCTGTTTTATCTTTGAATGTGCAAAAGGGTCTTTGATATCCACAGAGTTAAAGACACAAACTCTTGTGTACACCATGTTTTCTCACTTCCAATATTTCTGCAATCTGTCATTTAGCTAATTAACATCCTTATTCAGTGTTTTTGTCATCTAGTCAATGACTAAACAAACTGAAATGCACTATCTACAAAGGAACAGGATTAAACTAAAGCCTTTAACTGGGTAATTTAATACATTTGTGCACGTACTTGTGTGTCTAACAGTTGATAGTCAAAGAAGCCACTTTAAGAACAACATTAAGATATGGAACACAGGCTCATGTTGAACATGTGGCATTTGTCATTGGCTTTTTTCAACCAACTGCCATTTCTTATTGGAGCTCATTGTTGCTAAGGTTTGAAAATGGTGGCCATTGTAAAAAGCTTTTCTGTATTAAAACAGGGTCTCCCTAGTCACCCTGTACAATAATACAGTCAAATAATCCTTTGTTGTGCTCACACGGCCCTTTGATGTGAAAGCTTTGTGTCATAAGCCACATAATCACCTATGACAGTATTATTATTTTTCATTTATCGACTGTTTTTAAGGAAATTCTATGCATTTAATTTAAGGAGCAGTTTAGTAAACCATGACGTGTAAGCGTAACTCTAGGATTAAATTCATAGATAATTGGATGAAAGCAAACCCATTTCAGATGACTAATTGGGATTAATAAGTGTAAGCGTTGTCAGGGTCATTGCTTAAATCAAACAGACAGTTGTTGGACAGAACGGCTCACTGGAGACTGCTCTCCCTGGTTTGCTGTGTGACGAGTGGACCATGTAGTAATGAACCACAGGGTCTTATGCTCTGCTGCTTTCGCTTTCTCACAGTGTGAAACGCAGACTCTCAGACAATCCTTACATACCTTATCTGTCCTGTCCTCTCAACAGAAAACTCCACTGAAACATTTTCCTCTCATTTCGGGGGATCGTGTGCTCTGTTTGGGTCTTGACGTGTCCTGTGGGTTTTTTGGAGAAATGTCTTTCTCATCACAGTTGCTGTTCGGCTTGGAAAGCATGGCCAGTGTCTAGAAGTTTCATAATTGGAGTTGGAGTGCATATTTGAACAAACTTCGCTATTTTGCTTCTGACTTATTCATCAATTTTTCAAAATTAGTCTTCCACATGTCAAAAGTGAGTTGATTACTTGGCTTTTGGCATGGGTAAAATACAGTCCTGGGCATCTAAGTAAGATTATTTTTGTAGATTGATGTAACTGACTACTCATCTTATGATTACTCAGCATTTCTATTATGCTGGTATGGTAAGAAGGAGGCAGAAAGAATGTTGGTGTCTTGTCGTAACTGTTATTTTGACAAAAACGCATAATTTTTCCCTCAATTCCAAGTGTTAATCTGTATAGTCTTTAAGTCACATTTACAAAGCATCACTGCAGTGGAGAACTTCTTTATCACTTCCTACAGTTTAGATAACCCTTGACGACCGTGTCTAGGGTCAATCCTCTTCTAACCTGCCACGGGGATCTTTACCAAAATCCTTTTAAAGGCTGAGCTATTTTCCACCATTTCCTGGAGAGTCAATATTTGTATTAAAGTTTTCAGATTTTTCTTATGAATGCATTCATATTTTTAGTCGCATGACTGAAAATATCACACATTTTTGTATATTATGGCTATAAGAAAATGGATTATCCCATTGTCAGTTTAAAATGTGTCATTTAAATCAGCATGAATATCAGTGTTTTTCTGCCCCATGGTTGAATTGATGTCATTAATTAGCTCTTTTCTATTAAAGTAAAGATCACTTTGAGAACAAAACACAGCCACAGCATCTCTTCTTTATAAACAGAGACGGAGTTTATATATAGGGAACCCATTGTATACGGTTTTCATTCAGACTATTCAGTGACATGATTTGTTTCCCCAATGTTCACACACACACACACATCTACACACACACACACACACACACACACACACACACACACACACACACA